AATGGATAAAGAAAATGTGGTATTGGACTGGGGTTGTGGCTCAGAGGTAGAGCACTTGCCTAGCATGTGTGAGGCACTGGGTTCAATCCTTAGCACTACATAACAATAAAATAAAATAAAGGTATTATGTCTACCTACAACTAAAAAATAAATGTTTAAAAAAGAAAAAGAAAATATGGTATACATACAATGGAATGTTATTCAGCCATAAAGGAGAACGAAATTATGGCATTTGCCAGTAAATGGATGGAACTGGAGCCTATAATGCTAAGTGAAACAAGCCAATCCCCCCAAAACAAAGGCTGAATGTTCTCTCTGAAATGTGGATGCTGACTCACAATAGGTCGAGGTGTGGAGTGGGGAGGGGAGTGGAAGTTCACCAGATTAGACAGGGAGAAATGGAGGAAAGAGGGGGAGTGGGAATGAGAAAGACAGTAGAATGATTTTCACATATAACTTTTCTATGTTCATATGTGAATACACGACCAGTAACTCCATATCATGTACAACTAAGAGAATGGGAAGTTATACTTCATGTGTATCTGATATCAAAATACATTCTATTGTCATGTATAACTAAAAGGAAAAAATAAAAATAACAGTAAATTTTTTAAAAACAATCAAAAACCTTTGAGAATAAAATAATCTGAGTTATAACCTTGGTTGTACCACTGACTATCACTGTAACTCCAAGTTGCAGTTTCTTACTTAAAAGATAAAAATAAGAAAACATTTTTTGACTGCCTGACAGAGTTACAGGAAATACATCAAGAAGTAAAAAAGACAAGCACCCTGATCCTGCATATGTGCATTGAAGTGGGTACTTATTTGCAGAAAATAAATAATAACCATAATAAGTAAGTAAATCTTTAATATATTAGATAATAAGTGGGTGATTGCCAGTGAGCAGACTGGGAGATGTGGTGAATTAAAGATTAAATGATGTCACATCTGCCAAAATGTTTGTACAGAAAAGATGTCCTCTGATGAGATTAGATCACAAAGCAACAAGGGAATCCCCCAGCAAGCTCAGCCATGATTTTGACCTCACTCAGTATTTTCCTCTTCCCCTGCACTTCTACCCTTCTATGGAAGCCTGCCTTTGTAAATTAAGCTGCTCATTCTATAGCTCAGCTACAGACTCCTCACTGACAATCCTTCTGAGCAAGTCAGCAATCAGCAGTTAACATTCCTCCTAAACACAGGTAGCAGTTGCAGAGTTTGTTAGACCACTTCTGGACTCTAATGTTCTAGATTTCCTTAGCTTCCTTTTCCCATCTGTTTTCTAGCCCCACTTCAAGCCAAAAGTTGATTAAAATAGTTGTTCTCCACACTCTCCCTTTGTCCCCACCCCTACCCCTACCCTCCCGGTGAGCAGAACAGTGAGCAGAACAGTATGTGAGGAATTTTGCTTGTGGTACTTGCTAAGGTGAGGGAGTAGGGAGTACCTTGAGCATTTGGTTGGCACATGTTAGGGGATGTTGAATGGCCAGCAATTCATGAACCAGTTCAAGTTAAAAACAAACAAACAAAAAAGTTGCATTCAAAAATGCCAATAACCCCACTAAAAAAATACTGGGTTACAAAAATAGAATTTTTCCCATGAAATTTAGCTATTTTGAAAACTGGATTATTATGTTCTCAAAGCATACCTATCTCAATTTTTAAGCTGTCTCTATATCTTTAAAATACATCAGAAAATATAATCTGACATTATATATGTTTTCATTTAAGCTACATTTTAAAAATAGTCAATTGCTCTAACCAAGAATTAATACTCCAAACATAGTATTTAATCACAATGACTGTCATGAACACTAGGTTTTGTTAATTTAGATAATAAATGTTAGAACTATATTATTTATAAAATTGGGTGCTTAATAATTGGCATAATGATGAGGTTTTGTCAGTGAAATTGGTGATTCAAGATGCAAAGATTGGCTGTAAGTGGTAGATCATTCTTACCCTTCTGGTTTAAAACAGGAATTTCAATAATAATGACCCAGGATTAATTGCTAAGTGGCTCTGAATGGACAACAAGGTTAAATTTATTATGGTAAACTATCATTCCATTCTTGGAATATACCTGAAAGAAATGAATATTTAGTTTGTTAAAAGGTATGTAAAGAACATTACTAACATCCCTATTTATGGTAGCCCCCAATTCAAATCTATTCAAATGTCTATCTGCAGTGTAATAAATTTGTGACATTTAGTACTTGCACATGCTGGAATATTATACAATAATGAGAATGAGGAAATCATGGCCACACATGTAGCATGATTTAATTTTAACAACATAAAGTTGATTAAAATGTCAGGAATAACAGAGAATCTATTGCATCATTCCTTAAACATTTTCAAAGATGTGTAATACTAAAAATTAATCATATGACTATGAAATGGACTATTATTCAGCTATTAAAACACCTAAAGACATTAAAACGCTTATAATTGAATAAAACAGTAATGTATAAAATTGTATATATAATAAATGAATCCCACTCTCAGACAATATGCATGTATAAGTTGCTTATCTCTGTATAAGGAGTGCAGAGGTGTTATCAGTCAGGCTCTCAATGAGAAACATACAATACACTGACACTAGAAAATCAAAGGAAAGTTTATTTTAAAAGGGGAAGAAAGGACACAAGGGAACCACAGGGAGCACCCAGTTATTCTGAGCAAGACAGCTGGGCTACACCTACAGCTAAAGAGATAAGAGGAAAACCAGTTACCAGGACCCATTCCAGAAGAGAGAATTCCAGAAGAGAGTGGTCTGAAGGGGCCTCTTCCAGAGAAGAAGGGACTGTGGGATGAGGGACACAGCCTAGCCATCATTCTCTTGCTACAGCTCCCCATTAGCCAAACCCAATGAGAAGCCTGGAGCATCATCACTGATGTGATCCATACACATCAGCCCACGGGACAGATCAGGTGCACAGGATGGGGAGGGGTGGGGTATGGCTGTGAGGGTGTTCAGGGGTAGTTTCCCAACACAGGAAAAACAGCACATGTCACCACATCAGACTGAATCCAGGATTACCTAAAGATATGATACACTGAAGAGAAGATCATTTTTTTTTCTTTTGATACCTTTGTTTTGTCTTTCTATTATAATAATATGTGCAAATTATTAATTCTGGGAAATAAATGTGTCTGTGTGTGTGAAGATGTGTGCATGTGTGTATCTGCCTATGAAAGTAAATATGGGAGTTATATGAGTGAGTATATGTGGGAGAGAAAGATGGGTGGGAGCAGAGTGTGTGCGATGGGGTATATTTGTGAGAATGTGTGAAGGTGAAGGTGTACGTGGAAAGTGATACAGTGTATTTGTGGGTATCTACCTGGGGGTGGGCATGGTGATGAGTATATTCTGTGTGAGGTGTGGGAGAGAACTACATGTGAGAGAGAATGTGAAAATGTATATGAGGTTAAGCAGGTGGATCTGTGTTCAGTGTGTGTGTGTGTGATTATGTATGTAAGTGTATTTGTGTGACACATGACAGTGTATATGGGAGACGTGTTAGTGACAGTGTCTGCACGTACATGAGATGCACAGGTAGACATGAGGCTGTGTAGTAAATAATAAGCATGTGTGTCTGAGGCAGATGTGTGGAGGTGTGTGTGTGTGTGTGTGTGTGTCAGAGTGTGCACATGAGGAAACTAAGATGCATATGAGTAAGAAGGATGTGACCATGAGATAATGTGTATCAGGAGATGTGTACATACTAGGGTGTACACATGTACATGAGCTCGTGTGGAAATGTGCTTGTATACATCTATAGCCATAGAAATACAAACATCTCCTTCTAAGAAAAAAAAAACCACAAGAAAATATTCATAATAGTAATCTCTAATAGCAAAATAAGAGGCAAATTCATTTATTTCCTTATTTATAAAACAATGAATACTTTAAGGGTGTTAGTCTTCATTCCAGAACACATGAGAAAATACCTTTAGTGCCTTTTTGGTAATGTAAAAAAATTAAAAACAAAACAAAACAAATCTGGATTAATAAAATGTTCCTTCTTAGGAATATGTTTGGAAATTGGAATCTCCTTTTTCAACATATAACCATGGATATACCCAAGTCCCTGATTATAAGAAAATTTGTCTTTAAACTTGAGAAACATCAATGTTTAATTTTTTAATGTGATTTTGTTAATTTCTAGGTGTCAATAATTGAAACTAATTGCCTCTGGTGTTTTCAAGCCAACACCATATTGGCCTGTGCTATTAGGTTTCTGTTAACTGAGACTTTCTTTTTTAAGTAGGTAAAATAGGCCCTGAATTCTTTTACTTATACTTCATTTTTTTCTGCACTGCCTCATTTCACTAATAATAAGATAAGAATATTTCCCCATTCTAAGCTACATATTTTTAAGAGAAGCTTGTGGCAGTCAATAGTTAAGAATTTTTCTATTTTTAATTTATTACAAGTTTTTCTGCTTTCTAAAAGTGACTTGCTATTACTAACATCAGCCCCACTTATTTTGTATTGTTACCTGTGGGTCCCAAGGTATCTCTGTAACTTGATTTGGTTGCTTGGAGTCAAGGGAAACACATTTAATTTTCCATAGATAACAATTTTTAAATAGTGATTTTGTAGTAATATCTTTCGTGTGTACATAGCAAGCAGCCTTGGCTATTAAAATATAAATAGGACCAACTCTATTGAAGATGTGTGCATGTGTGTACCTGCCTATGAAAGTAAATATGTTTTCTGCAACTCTGAAAGTAGCTATGAAGTTTGGCCAAACCCAGGACATTCAGAGTTGCAGAAAACATGTCACTCACAGTGAAGAAGCCCGCAGAACCAGGAATGTCTTATTGTCTGTTAATATTTCTCCATTGTTTCAATTGATTTCTCAGTTACAAGTCTATCAAACAAACCCACTTCAAACAATGTCATTTGAAAAATTCTCAATAAACGTTGACAGAAACAGTCTTTAAAACCATGAGGCTTTTTCTAGGGCAAAAGGATGAGTCACCAGCTCTTACTCAGGTTCCATATCAAACCACTGTTGGGGTTCAGTGAACACTTTATTTTCCCACTTGAACTTGAACTCTCCTGCAAGATCACTCCTGCCCATCTTGCGAAGGTGACGAGCTAGGAGGCGAACTTTGTCAGTGGAAGTTGGGAGAGATTTTTTCCAGAAGCAAAGAAGTTCATGGATCTGCTCCGTGAGGTCATCAGGGTGCTTGAGTTTGATGAGCTGAATGGTGCTGCGGCGCAGAGGAAGGGACGAGGTAAGGACCTCAGCGTTTTCTTCTGAGAGTTCCTCTGCCAGCCAGTGGAACAAGTTATCCCAAAGGGCTTCTGGAGGCACACACAGAACACCCAGTGTTAGGAAGCTTGCTTGAGGGATGTGCTAATCCAACCCTTCACACCTGCTCACGGGAATATACTAGCCCTCTGGTTTGGCTTCTGAGCAGCAGAGAAATGTGGGACCACCCAGGTGGACAGTTGAGAGCTTTTGAATTCCTGCCAATGCTGAGGTCATCATCTGAGCTTGCTAGCTATGGTAAAGGACTAGAAATGCTCCTCAAATTTTAATGTACCTGAGAACCAGAAGGGCTTGTTAAAATGTTTCTTTGGTTTCCAGCCCACAGTTAATTGAGTAGGACTAGCGTGGGGCAAAACATGGCATCTTCAACAGGCTTCTAAGGATGCTGACGCCGAGGTCCCTAGCCATTCCTAGCCTTGTAGCACTTTGTCAAAGGATGTTTCATAGGTTCAAAAAGATATTTATCCTTATTAGTATTAAAGTGATGAATAAATTATGCCAGAAGCTAGCTGGTCCTCACATATTCATGCAAATACATATACGTGCACACATACACACACACTGTGTGTGTATGTGTGTGTATACACAGCTCACCAATTTCACTACCCGAAGAGCATTCTGAACAAAGTTCATTACATCAATATTTCCTCTGGACCTCTGGACTATTTTGACTTGAACACATCTCCTCTGAATATATCCAATATTCTCTGTGTATCTTTCCCGTTAACCTGAGACTCCTGCCTGCTTCCTAATCCATGATTCCATCTGCTATTGCTATGGTTTTCATTGCATAATTCAAAGCCATCACTCTAAGTAAATCCCCTGAACCCCTCTATGTCTCCCCTTCCATATACAAGCCATAATCCATCTTTTCCCTTCCATATATCACACCTATCCTGCATACTTTCTTCTACGCTCAGGCTCACCCCATGCACTAGTTTCCCTGGCCTTGTATGAGCAAAGAATACCATGTCTTTCCCCTATTACTTAATTACCCCTTCCACCTACCTCCTCATATAAATTACGCTCTGATTTTACACTATAAAGTTGCTTATCTATGAATATTACTTAAAGGAAGGAGCTAAAATATCTTTGTTTGTTTTCAAATAATTGTTCTGCTACCATCATGCAATGCATTCACTTAGATGTCTATGCTACCTAGGTGGGCCTTCCTCCCCCACCCACATTATCTATCGCCAGCCATCAGCCATAACACTGATAATCATTCACGCTACTGACCGCATGGTTCCTTAATCTTATTAACTCCAGTGACCTGTCCTGTGACGTCAAATTAGAAATTGACTTTCAGAGTTATTCTTCACATTTCATCATCAGCCAGAATTATGCCTCCTTCATGGCCTCAGCTTCTCTATATTACTACTGACTACTACCCGCTAAACTCCCACAGCTTCTATTCCTCTGCTTCTGCATAATGTTCTCTGTCCCCATCACTAATAGAGCAATCCCTCCTGTCATTCAATCGCCCCTGCAGGGTCTTACATACCTCTGCCAGTGCTGCTCCTAAAGATCAGTTATATACATCAAATATGGTCATGCATCCAACTTAAAATATGTTATCCACCTTAGCCTTATTGTCATTATTGTCAATTTGTCAACTCTAATCATGCAGGTTGGGGGATACTGAGTGTCCCCAAATGGCCTCTGTTTTGAAGGTTGATCAGCAGTAGCTGAGCTACTCCAGCTACCCAGTTATGAAAATATGTTGTTGTGCCTACTAAACACTATGCTATTTTATTCTATTGAGCCCTTAGCATTCACAAATCCATTTAAAATTTTTCTAATCACAATTTTAAAATTTCCATAGCAAAAGCCAAAATCTTTTCTCCTGTCTCACTCTCCTGTTTCACCCAGCCCAAATCTGTTTTTCCCACTTTACACAAAGCCATTCTGCTTGAGTTCTTATAACCTTGTTTTCATTCCCAAAGTACTTTCTTACAAAATCTCCCTCTGTGTTTGCTGGACTCCATCCCACCCTGCATTTTTCATCCAATATTTTCCCTTTACATCTGTCCCTCAATCTCCTCCTCACTGTGGGTCCTTCCATGGTTCTTATAAACATGCTCAGGTCATCTAGTTCCCTTATACTATAATATCAAGCCACTGTGCTATCTCTTCTCTTTTCTTTTTTTAACCATAAAAATCTTTTAATGTCTAATGTGCCATGAGGCCTCAAGTTCCTCACTATCTACTAAGCACTTACATGCTTGCTTTAGGGATTCTATGACCTTTATAAAAACTGCTATTTTGGCCTTTATTCAAACCTTCCTAGAGAATTCTTAATTATTACTTGAAGCAAGTGAATCTTGGCCTGCATCTTCTTAGACTTCCACAAAACATTTAACTTCTTTCCTTGGATTTCATGTTCTCCCCAAGATCTACTGTTCCTTCTCTCGCCCTTGTCTGACTCATCCTCCTGATGCTGCTAAATTACTGCTTCCTACCTCAGGCCTCTTCTATTTCTGTTCTCTTTACTCAATGAATTCATCAATTCTTACTTACTTGACCATAGCTTCTAGGTGAAATATCCCAGAACTGTTATCTCTTCATCTTTAACTTTGTTTTCCTAAATCCTAGAATAGTCTTTGCAATATTCATTTTTCTCAAAATCTCTACCAGTGAATTGGAAATTGGGATCCTGGTACCTTCTTACTTGCTTCCTGGCTATCATGAGGTGAACAGGCATCTTCCACCATGTGCCATGATGTGCTATATCACCACAAACCGAAAGCAATGGACCAATTCACCATGGACTACAACCTCTGTAATTGTGAGTCAAAATGAGCCTTTCCTCTTTTTAAGTTAATTAACTCAGGCATATTGTCACAGAGATGAGAACTGATGACCACAATGCCCTATCTGTCTTTGCTGGATGGAGTACAACATTCTAATTTATATCCTTGCTATCAGTTTTGACTCACTTTGTCCTCTGCACACAACTTCTGCACAACCATTCTGCATCCAATCTGATCTTGTTAGTCCCCTATTAATAAATCTTTGAAAGATTTATTATCCTATTGTCTAAACTTCTAAACTTGGCATGTAAACTTTTAATAGTTTTATCGTACTGAAAATATCTAGCCTTATCTACCACCAACCTTCCTATAGAAGCTTTGATGACATTGATAGCAGCTCAGGACTTCATAGCACACATAAGAAGAATCATTGTATTCTTATGCTACCCAGTGATTATTGACAGGAGCAGTAATTATGCTTTTATTTGAATATCAATTTCTTTAAAAGTGACCAATGATGAACTTGCCAAGCTTTCATCTATTGATATTGTTATTATTGTTTTTTTCTATATCATTTTCCTTCTTTTTTAAAGCAGCTGTATTGTTCCTGAGATAGTATATTGTAATATTAAAATTAATTCCTGTTCCATTCTAATGTAGTTCAGTAAAGTCTACGCATTTTCTGGTACCCCTAAGTGTAACCTCTAATTGGGATTCTGTGCTATCCACGGTGAGCCTGATAAAGTAGTGAAAACCCACCCACTGATGTCTTTTGAAGACAAGTAAGTGATTGCATTAATAGCTATTAACATCACAGAAAGAATTGCTTTAAAGGCTAAAATAGAATAAAGGTGTCAATTCTACCCTGAAATTTGCATCAGCATAATACACCAACATGCTTTCCTGCACATAACCCTGAATATTATGCATAAACACAGCCAAATATAAAATATGTTCTTTGAAGATTCATACTAATATATACTTCTCTTTAAATCTATTTACCACAAATGTAGGTTTGAGTTGACCACACTTAAACATTTACAATTTAATGGTCAAAATTTCAGAATGAATTTTAGCTATTTACCAAATTAAGAAATTATTTGTTACTTATCTAATTTATATTTCTAAATAAAAATGATTTATGGGGCTGGGATTGTGGCTCAGCGGTAAAGTGCTCGCCTTGCACATGTGAGGCCCTGGGTTCGATCTACAGCACCACATAAAAATAAATAAATAAAGGTATAAAAAAAAATAAAATACATGCACATTATTATGTATAATTATTAAAAAAAAAGATTTATATTTCTTATAGATTTCAGTACAAATTTCATGACATGCATATTTGAGAATGATATTTTGGTTTATATGTACATGACTTTGCAAGAAAATTCCACTTATTAAACATGATAAAACTTAATGATTAAATGAAAAGTCACTTTCTCCATTCTATTTTGTAGAAGGATTCATGCATACATAAAATATGAGAGGAGAAAAAGTACTATAAGTACGGAGCAAATATTCCTTACCTAGAGGATCTTTAGAAATTCTCTTGGTACTCTGTGGACGGTTGATTAATTTTTCATGCTATTGGGAGGGACAGAGAATAAGTAGAATAAATTATTTATTGGTAAATAAATAAAACCCCATATGAACCTCACCCCTACTTAGAAGAAGCACTGAATTGCATATCTTGCAAAATTAGATCTTGTATTTGTGCATGCATGTTCAGCAATTGTTTTCCTAAGATAAGGCAAAGTAAAGCAACCCAATTTAAATTTAAGAATACACATTTGAATATTATTAGAGCACTCACATGAACTCGGAACAAACATTTCCCAACTAAAGCTCAAAAGTATTAAAGCCAACTAATATAGAGCAAACTATCTCTATGCCACAAACATGGTTTTGGTAAAATCTCTAGTAGGTTGGTCATTGTTCTTCAACACTCAGCACAGGTACCTGATAGTTAATTAAACAATAGTTTGTGAGAATGAACAGGTGAATGTTCAATGAACAAGTTGATAAAAAACAATCAAGGCACTGAGCATATATTATTCTCAACCAAATATTTTATCAAGAAATAATTGCATATATAATCATTTCTTTTCTACACTATCTGCAGAACAATTTATTCTCATTTAATGAGGGGTGGTGGAAACAGCACAAGAGATAAGTTAAAAACATCTGTGTTTGGATACCAGTTTAAGTGATTGAGAGCAGTGTTACTGTGGAACACTTATCTCTTAAATCTCTCTTAAATGTTCGTTATAAACCACATCACAAAAAAAAAAAAAAAAACTTGCACACAAATGTTCATAGCAACTCTATTTGTAATAGCCAAATCTAGAAACTGCTAAAAAATGTTATTTGATGATATATTCAAAATCCTGAATATTATTCAATTAATAAAAGGACAATTCACAGCTACATGCAATAGCTTCTAACTTCCAAGGGCCACTAGGCACTACGCCAAGTACAAAATTCAAGTCTCAAAACTTTGCATATTCTGATTTCACTTACCTTATCTTCTTGAAATTATGTAATTTTAAAGATGTAGAACAGATCATTAGAGATTGTTGGTACTTACTGATCTGGGAACATGACTAGAAAGAGGTGGCAAAAAAGAGATCATTGTGATGATGGACCAGTCCTGTGTTTTGAATGTGGTGGTGGGCACATGAATCTACCTACACATTTGGTAAAATTGCACAGAATTATATACACACATCATATCACAGTGTATCAATGTCAACCTCCTGGCTCTGATACTATATTATTGTTATGTTAAGATGTAACTACTGAGGAAAACTGGTAAAAAAATACTCTTTTGCAAATTCATGTAAACCTATAATTATTTCTGTTTTTTTCAGTGCTGGGGATCAGACCCAGGGACTCATGCATGCTGAGCATGGATTTTACCACTGAGCTACATGGCCAGCCCCAGAATATTTTTTAAAAGCCTACTTCAAAGTATGAGATAAGGACAACATAAGTGCTGTATGTTAGTATATGTCACATTGCTTCCTGCTGGGCACTCAGTACAAGTGAGTTGAATCAGAATTTCATTTTTTGTAGGCATTACATAATCATGGAAGCATATAAAACTTCCTTTAAGAAGATTTAATAGGTTGGAATTAGGAAACAGTAGAAGTTAAAGTATACTACATTGCAGCATTGCAACGCAATTACATTTTTGAGGCATCAACGATATGCCTCAGAATTGTGAGATGACTATCAATTTAAACAGGACAGCAGACTCTTCATTCCTGTTAGAAGACATATCACCTGGACTGAGCCTGGGGCAAGAGGTACATGCCAGGTTTTTATCTTTTCTTTATGTTAATTGTTTCTCCCGTCAGTCCATCTTTGTTCACAGATGCATCTTAATGCACTGAGACTGGTTCTAGTATTTACTAGATGGATTATTTTTCTCATCTATGAAAATTCAGGTAAGCACTTCATCTGACATACAACCACAGAGGGAACAAATTGTGGCAGCACAGGTTCTTTTAAATGCCCAGACATAGGGGATTTTCAATGCTACCTTCCCTTCTTTTTACTTCCCGTCTACTCTCTCCCCTTCCAGTCCTCTATTTGCATGATTTTATCTGTGCACAATTTTTGTCTGTGTACTAATCTTGCTTTGCACATTGTTTCTTGAAATCACTTTTGTCTAGGGTCAGCACCAAGCCAAACAGAAGGCTTCTGCTTGTCCTTCCACCGTCTTCCCTCGCCCACATACCCAGTGTTCTCACATGGCTTTCTGGAAGCCTTCCTCCGCAGGAAGTCTGAAGTTTTCCTAGTCGCTCTCCCCATCCTTCTTCTAATTAGAAGGCACCCTTCTGTTACCTCTACTCAACTTTGCTATTCTTCTCAAGTAACATGTTTTTATGTTAATATTGTGCATTTTAACTTGCAGAATACAATTTCTTCAATGCCACTGTCAACATGTTAGTGCACAAGGAGATGGCTCATTGGGCAAATCAAAATGTGGCTCTCAAGCTCTCTGTAAGCTGTGTCCTTGATACACATCGTCCTTATAAAGAGGTATCGTCCTTATAAAGAGGGAAACTGGGGCTTCTGTCACACTTTCTCCCTCACTATAAAGCTCTCAAGAAATCTATAAATAATAAAACTATAAGTAATCCAGATGTTTGTAGATGTGTTGTATTTACACTGCTAAGAGCAACACAGGCCTCATCTACTTGGAAGTGATTAAAACACTGAAACCAAAGAACCACTCACACTGGAAGTGGCTGTTTTGGGTGCCAGGAGCTTTCCCGCTGCTGCTGTGAGGATTCCTTTAATTACTCACTATTCTTTACATGCTGCCCAAATATAATCCTCCTATTCTTAAAACTACGTAGATAATTTTATAGGTGGACTCACTAGAGTGACAATTTTATCTGTTGCGTGCAACCCCACAAACTGACTTGGGCATATTCAGCATTTTTCTAGGTAAGGTCCCAGCGGCCTTGCTGAAAAGAGTCTGTCAAGTCCTAAATCATACGCCTGGATATTTCTGAGACTCAGCTTAATTTCATGATAGAGCTTGCACCTCAGCATCCATACAATAACCTTCTAGACTGGGCATTTCTCTAAATGCTTATCAGACATGTATGATACTCTCAAAATTGATCCTGCTTCAGAGATATTAAAAGATTCCTTTCTTTTCTTCTAACTATCTCATTTGCCTTTCATATACAAAGAGTGTGCAAGAGTGCACTTCCTGTTTTCATCTATGATGGCTGATAACATTTCAGCCCAAAAGTGCTAGTTCTCCTGTGAGACGCCAAGATAGTGCAGAAGCAGGCATGAACAGCAAAGCTAATCTTTCCCCAGTGCTACTCTGCTCGACCACGTGAGGGCTCACTTGGTCAGTTCCTGGCTTCTGATTCAACCCATGCCTCAGTTTCCTGAATTTTAAAACCATTATCATCATATTACATAGTCTCTAAGTTTGTTGTAAGCATTAAATGAAATAAAATATGTAGTGCATGATCTTTTTTCCCCATTGTTGTGCATGTGTTGCTCAGTGTCTGTGGTAATGCTCGTGTGAAAAAAAAGTACTGTATAAAAGTGCAGGGTGTACAGTTCTGTACAGAACATAATACTTGGCAATGGTATGTAAGTGACTACATTAATGTAAGTGACTACATTACTGGTTTGTGTATTTACCATATAATATAGTACTTTTTAAATTTTAATTGATTCATAGTATTTGTATGTATTTATAGGGTACAGTATGGTTTGACACATGTACATAGTGTGTAATGATCAAATCAGTGTAATTAGCATTTCCATCTCCTTTAACAATCATCATTTCTATGTATTAGGAACCTTCTATTCTTCTCTTCCAGTTATTGTGAAACATAATAAATTTCTGCAGACTATGGTTTTATGGAACACTAGAACTAACTCCTTCTATCTAATTAATTTGGCATCACACTGTATCCTATAAATACACACAAATATTATGAAGCAATTAAAACTTAAAAAGTACTATATTAGTAGGAAGGGGGGGCAAAAGAAATTGTGATACATTTTTAAGGAAACAACTTAGTTCAGCTATTGGCACATGTGCACTTAATAAAAGTCATCTAATTGTTAACCACACAGGTTTTGCTAGAACTATAGTGTCATTTTTGCAGACAGGCTTTTTCTAACCCTAATTTCTAAGATGTTGGTTCAAAGATCCATCTGTAACTAAAGGTACTCTTGTAAGTATACCCTTCAGTAAATGACTGGGTAAAGAAAATATGGTATATATACACAATGGAATATTACTCAGCATTAAAAGAGAATAAAATCATGACATTTGCAGGCAAATGAATGGAGTTGGAGAATATAATGCTAAATGAAGTAAGCCAATCTCAAAAAACCAAATGCTGAATGTCTTCTCAGATATCAAGATGCTGATTCATAATGGGGATTGAGGAGGAGAGCATGGGAGGAATAGATGAACTTTAGATAGGGAAAAGGGGGTGGGAGGGAAGGAGGGTATGGGAGTAAAAGGACAGTGGAATGAGACGGACATCATTACATGTATGAAAACATGAATAGTGTGACTCTACATTGTGTTCAACCAAAGACATGAAAAATTGTGCTCTATTTGTGTTATATAAATTGAATTGCATTCTGCTGTCATATGTAACTAATTAGAATAAATAAAATTTTAAAAACTTTATGTAGAGCAAGGCAGGACCAAAATGTCCCCATGACATCATAGCACTAGAGACAGCTCCGTCTCTTGGTCTCAGAACAGTCCTGGATTCAGCCACTACTGACCATTTAGTCCCTGAAAATGCTTTGGCCTGGAAAAATCTCAGTGTTTCAGTTGTGGCTAGGACTCACCCTCATTGTAATGTGCTTTCAGGAGCTTAGGGTGGTGCTGGCATGACCCAAGCTAACATCACCGCAGTTCCTGAGGTCTCTATCACAGAAACAGTTTTTGTGTCCAGTGATATGGTAAGGACTTTCTGATAATTTTAACACCATTTAGCACGGATGCCACATGGTATTACAACAAAACAACAGCTTTATACAACCAGCAACAACAAAAACTGTCAGGCTGCTGTTGTTAC